ATATGCCACTCCCTATTCAAAGTCATTCAACAGTCACCATGAGGCCTGTAAGATAGAACTCTTGAGCATGAACATTACAGGCTGAGGAAACAGCTTCGTGGTTGACTCCACTTTTGCTTACAACCTCATTTCTTACAACACTTTGCCCCAACCCATGTGCACCCTGTGTGTTGGCCACCGCTTTAGGAGTTCCCTAAGTATGTTATGCTCCTCTTGCTCTTGTTCAGCCTGACTTGCTACTCATCTTTGAGAGGACTCAGCTCTCCTGCTTGCTTTATTCTTACCTTTAGATAATCTTTGCTTTATACTTTTTGTTTCAACAATATTGAAATCCATTGTACTTTTTAAAAACCATGCACTATTTTAACTGTCTCCTCAAGTTTCTCTTATTTTTCTTCCTTTTCTTGTCTCAGTAATGCCTAATCATTATTTACAATTTAACTCAGGTATCATTTCTCCCAAGAAATCTCCTCTGGATCCTTTTCCTTTGCTGACCTCTGGGTATTTTCCTCTGATCTCATCAGTGCGTTTCTCTCAGAGCAGTAAGGCTCAGTATTGCCCTCAACTATCCTCTTGGTAGTCTGGGAGAAGACTGTTTACTCTAAGGGATTTTAAGATATGGAACCTTAGATAAGTGACAATGATTTTCGCCTCTGAATTTGTCAGAAATACAATTTTTCTGGCCCATACTCCAGAGCTACTGAATCATAAACTTGTAGGGGTGGTTAGATTCAATAATCTGTATCCTAATGGGTTCTCCAAGTTGTATTGGCACTAAGGAAGTGGACCACTCTCTCATTTATCTCTGGACCTAGAACTCTGTAATACACTCTGTAACTATAACTCTGACAGGTATGGTCCAGAATAATTATTTTTTTGAAATAAAATAGATCAGGTTATCCACCTCAGGAAGTCGTCTTGATTTCCTGGGCTAGATGAGAAGTCACTCCTCTATGTCCTCATGATACCTCCCCATACACTAGGGCAAGCTATTGTGGGACTATAGACAGTGACATCCCTAAAGACAGAGATTATACTTTCTCTGCCTGTTGTGGATACAGATTAGGTCATCAGTAAATATTTATATAGTTTTATGTCCTGGGATATGTGAGGGAAAAGACAGATAAGTTCCTTCCTTTCGTGGAAATTAAATTCAGCAATAGAGAAAGTGGCATGTTCTATTGCTGCCAATAGGTCTGACAAGATGAGCACTAAGTATGAAGGAGATGATTGAGCTTGGGCATATGGAAATCATCTACAGAATGAATAAATGAAATTGGACTTTATTGGTTGGTGCTTTATTTAAAAAATCAACTCAACTAGAAAAGGCTGCTTGTCTAATTTCTCTGATACCCACCCAAACTTAGCTGAGGGATTCCCTGTAGACAGTAGTGCAAACAACCTTCTCAGAGCTGTCTTGTTAAGAATGCAGAGCGAGGCACCCACTGGGATGGTTGCTGCCAGTCAAAAGCAACTCCAGCTCAGACTGGAGGGAGGCTTCCTGCCTGTTCTTCAAAATAAAGTTTTAGACATCACTACTAAAGAGAGACCAAACGAAGGTGGAAAAAGTATGTCTGAAATTGGAATAAAAACTTTCCACTGACATCAGTTTGGCACAGCTGTCCTGGGTCAAAGAGCATAGGAACACTCGCCGTTTCTGTGACCTCTCCCTAGAGCAAAGTGTTACACTTTTGGATTTTCTCTATTCTCCAGTGTAAGGTGGTGACAGACTCAATTTGGTTTGGTTTGGTTCTCAAACTTTGGTGGGCAGAGGAATCCCCCCTGGATGACTTGTGAAATTCCGATGGCTGGACTCTGTCCCAGAGTTTCTGTTAGTGGCCAGGGTGGAACCGGAGAAATTCTATTTCCCACAAACACCCCCATGCTGCTACTGCGGCTGCTTCTGTCCCAGGACCACCCCTCAGCAACTTCTGTTCTAGATTATACACACTTCCCGAGAGCAGGGATAGCATCCCTCTTGCCACTTGGCTTGGAAGGAGGAGTACTCAGTATATTTTTATAAATGAATGGATTAAACAAGCCCTTGAACTTGGCTATCAAAACCTTTAGGCTTGACTTTGGTGGATCCCACAGGGCTCAAGAATGGAATGAGTGAGGTAATGATGAAAGTAAGAAAGTGATGGACTACCATGTTGAATATTTAATGATCTGCTTCTTTAGCCACTTCCTAAAGACCTGATTTGCTTCTCCTGTTGCCTTTAAACTTCCCGGCAGCCCCTCCACTAAGGTAGGACCCTATTCAGATCTTTGGGTGGCAAAGTGGCTGCCTTACTCCATTTTCTGTTGCTATAACAAAATACCTGTGACTGGGTATTCTGTAAAGAATAAAAGCTTATTTGGCGTACAGTTCTGGAAACTGAGAAGTCCAAGAGCATAGTACTGCTGTCTGTTTAACATCTGGTGAGGGTCTTCCTTGGTGGATCATACCATGGCAGAGGACATCACGTGGAGAGACAGAGCCAAACCTGCCTTTATAAAACCCACTTTCAAGATAACCCATTAATCTATTCATTAGATCAGAGCCCTCAGGTCCTAAGCACATTTAATACTTCACCTGAGTTTGGGTGAGGATGTTCAAGCAGTGTCCATCTTTGGACTCCTGCTTGAACCATTTCCAATTATGGGCTTCCTTCCACAGTCTATGAAACACCTTCCATTAATTCAGTGAGGGGGATTTTACGCACCTCTTTAGGCAGAGGGACCCAGTGACACAAATGATTAAAAGTGAAACATCTTTCTGGGTTTTATTAAGCCCTGGATAAAGCAAGTCCTTTCTCCCTACACTCCAGAGTTAGAGGAAATGAGGCGGGGATCTTGGCACATGGCTGTTGAGAGATGGAATTAGTTAAGCCTCAGTCAAAGTGAAATGAATGTCGGTGGCCACATCCCATCGAGCAAGCACACACATCTTTTGGTTAGAAGGACTGCACCCTTGCCCTGCACAGAGCAGCCTTTCACAGCCTGCTGGGAGGCAAAGGAAATGGAAAGTCCCACAGCGTCCTGAGCCCCTCTCTGTTTCAGGAGGGTGACTCTGCTTCCTTTGATTTTCACAAGCTCAGGGACCATGCCGGTCTTTTGCACAGAAGTTGAGTCCTGGGAGAGATACTCAGTTTTTGAGCCAGCAGCTGCAGACAGGATGGCCCATGTTGCCCCAGGAGGGAAGAAGCCCTGTGTGTGCTGACCCCCTACCCAGGCTGGTGCCTGGGTTGGCCAGAGAATGAGCTGGTGGATCCCCTCCAGAGCCTCCCTGGTCTGTAGCCCCAAAGCAGAGCAAGGGCTTAGCGGGGGCTTTTCTGAGAAGCTGCTGAGCTCAGACCCTGTGGCTCTACATTCCTGCATGATGAGGGAGGGATTCCAGTGTTTACTTTGAACAATGTTTTCCTGTGTCTGAATGGACCGGGGTGTTAAATTCTTCCAGATTTCTGGCTCCACACGTTACAACTTCGAAGGGACAGGAACAGGTTTACGGCAGTTGGCAAGGGAGCGAAAGCGGGGTCCGTCTGGGCACCCTCTGCTTCTAGAATTTCCACTCTGGGGATGGAGAAGAGACGGGTCAGGGCAGGGCTCTGTGCTTCTCCACGCCTGGGAGGGGTTTGTTTGTGGTCTGGATTTGTAGAGCTCTGTGCCTTTCACATTTCCCACCCTAGAGGGCAAAATTTAGCTTTTTTTTCCCCCTCTTTTGAAAGGCATCCGGGAATGAGAACAAGCTTGAGTGTTGAAGGTCAGGGCTTGCAGTATTTTCTCAGTTAGTATAAACCCAGAAGTTGGGCTCATAAGGAATTCATTTGGTGGGATGTTAGGAAACTTTAGTGCATTCCAGTACATGGAGCCTTGCTGTGCAAGGAGTTTTTTTTTTTTTTTTTTTTTTTTTTTTTTTTTTTTTTTTTTCCGACTGAGTATTGAACTCAGGCGTGCTTTACGACTGAGCTACATCCAGCCCTTTTTATTTATTTATTTATTTATTTTATTTTGAGACAAGGTCTCTCTAAATTGTTGAGGCTGGCCTTGAACTTGCAGTCCTCTTGCCTCAGCCTCCTGAGTCAGTCACTGAGTCACTGGAATTACAGGTGTGTGTGTCACCACAGCCTGCAAGGAGGTTTCAGGGAGAAGCCAGAGGTTAGTGTTAGATGGGAGACAGGGTGTAGCAAACCCCAACCCTTATTCTTCTCCAGGAGGAAACAGAGGTATAGAAAGGCAGAGTAACTTGGGGCTAGAATGTTGCCCCGGAAGGACCTAATGTAGGAAGTCAGATCTTTCAGAACGATGCAATACAAGGAACCTGGTATGGTAACTGTCACTGGAGGAGGTCTGAAGAGTTCCTGGAGAGGGGACCCCAACTCAGGATGAATGGGATTCTTGACAAACACCTCAGAAAGTTCTTGAGAACCATCGTAGAAACAGATTTAAGGATGTGTCAGAGACACAGAGTTATTTAGGAAATCTGATATATATATATATATATTCTAGGGAAAACGTGGGCCATCTTGAGAGCTAGAGGGCCATTTTGGGGGTCCCAGGCTCTTCTTTTAATGAAAACATGGTGAGGGGTGGGTATGGGAAGGAATGCGAGGATGATATCATTCTGGTAATGACGAGATGGTTAATGGTTGTCGTGGCCACTCTCAAGATCCTTGCACGAAACGTAGGAAAGTACCCTAATATTACAGGTTTCTTAAATATCGTATTTCTCTTTGCTTAATCTTTTTATGATATAATTATTTTATTAGGGTAATTCACACTATGCAAGGTAATTTTCATAAGTGGATGGATTTACAGTGACTCTAAGATTTACGGATGTCCCAGAAGTTTAGGAGTGACCGGCCTGGGAGAGAGAGAGAACTGGTTTGGGGAGTGACAGGCCTGGGGAGAAATGTACGTGGAACTTGAGCATCAGGCTTTCAATCTCAACTTGGGTTTCCTTATCCTTCTTTTTGTTTCCTTTCTACCTATTTTTAATTTTTTTTTCTATCCTACCTCAGTTACCTGAATTGACTGCCAACTCAGAAGGAGATGACCACACAATCATTCCGGGCCATCAGGGACGTCCTTCATAGAGAACTTTAGGAAGACCAAGAGGATCAATTCAAAGATAAAGGTTCTGCTCAGGCCCATCATGCATAATCAAGTCATGCACCATCAACAATTTCTTCATTCTTATGTTCTGGGAGGATGTTTTGGTTCAGGGAAAATTCTAATGGTACTCTGTGATGACGTTGGACGGTGGCCCCGTGGATCCTTGGCGAATCTCCAATCTCCAAGCAGGTGCCTGGCAACCTCTTGACCAGAGCAGCTCCAAGCCAATAGGGCACAAGGCAGATAATAACCCTGAAACTCATTCCATTCTAGACTCTTGGACCCTGAAAACCCACCTCTGAGATCCTTCTGTGGTTATGGGGTGCATGCTTATGTATATGGCACATAATAGGCAGGAAAGGAAGATTGGTGGCAATCTTCGTGGCTTCAGGGCTCAGCTAGAGGTCAAATGACATTTATGTAGTGGTGTTGGATAAAAGAATCCTGTGATAGGACTTGGCGTTTTTTTTTCTTTTTTTTTTTTTTTTTTGAGGTACCAAGGATTGAACTCAGAACCTCACTCATGCTAGGCAAGTGCTTTACCTCTTGTAACATCTCAAACTCATTTTATTTTGAGACTAGGGTCTGTCTCAGTTGTGAAGCTGGTCTCTAAGTTGTGATCCTCCATCCTCAGACTCCTCCTGAGTTGCTAGGATTACAGGTGTCTACCACCAGGTCTGGAAGTCCGGGTATTTTGATCTAATTACTTTCACAAAGACATTTTTACTTGGTCTTCAGAATTTTTTTTTTTTTAGAGAGAGAGAGAGAATTTTTAAAAAATATTTATTTATGTTTTTAGTTTTTTTGGCGGGCACAACATCTTTGTTTGTATGTGGTGCTGAGGATCGAATCCAGGTCGCACGCATGCCAGGCGAGCGCGCTACCACTTGAGCCACATCCCCAGTCCCTTCAGAAAAATTTTTTTTTAAAAACCCACTAAAATTTAAGTTATCTGTATCCATCAAGCAATGTGAGACAAGCATCATAACTTTACATCTGGGCCTCTTCATGCCTTATTCTATCCTAGTGAAATTTTACCTGCTGCTGCCAGAACAAGAAGCCCTTCTCTTCCTCAGTCTCATAGGTGGGATTTTTCCTTGGACAGGTTGGGCCTTGTATGGTTATTTCTTGCTGTGTAACAAATTACCCCTTTGGGGGTAATTATTTGCTTAAATAAATATTTTTATCTTACAGTTTCTGTGGGTCAGAAATCTGGGTGTGTCTTTACTGTCTGCCCTGTCTCAGCATCTCTTCATGAGGTTCCAGTCATAATTTTTTTCTGGGGCTGTGGTCTCATCAGAAGGCTCAATAAGAGGGGAATCCTCTTCCAAAATATTAACATCATGATGATGGACAAGACAAAGTTCCTCATGGGCTGTTGAATCAAGGGCTTCCATTCTTTGCTGACTCTTGATTAGAAATCTCCCTCAGTTCCTTGCCACATGGGCCTCTCCATGAGGCAGCTTGTAATATGGCAGCTGGTGTCCTTCCGAATGGATAAGAGACAGAGGAAATGTGTGAGAGAGCCCTCAAGATGGAAATCAACACTTTTGTAACCTAACCTCAGTGGTGACATCCCCTCATTTTGACTATATTCTGTTTGTTAGAAGTGAAAGGTACTAGATACAGCTCATACTCAAGGGGAGGGGATTCCATAAGGGTACAAATAGCAGGAGCTGAGATCATTGTGAGCTATCTTGCAGTCTGCCTATCACGGGTCTTATGAGGCCTGTTGCTTATGAACTCCTTTAGCTTGTGGACCCTGTAACCTAACAGGTCTGATAAACCATGTGTTATAAGGGGTGGAGAGAATGAGTTCCTTGTTTACCCATATTCTTTCTGCAAGGTGGGTTCCTTTGTTGGCTTAGCATCCCAGAGGAACACATAATTCTGATTTTCTAAACTAGTTATTTATATTCAACCTCCATCCCATCTCACCTCCACCCTAAGAAAAGCAGGGGGAGCCCAAGACACCACCAACACCAGCCACTCCCCGTCTGTGGACACTGTCACTGTCTCAATAACTTAACATTTCTGCTCTCTCTGGAGTTCATCTGGTTTTTACCCTGGAAAGCAATGTTATTTATCTTTCTTGTTACCAAAACAAACCCCGGTTATAAATCAAAGAACAACAATTTATACCAATAGTTCAGAGTTCTTGGACCTCATTACAAACTAATAATTATAAAGTACTTTATGGATCACATTAGTTGAATCACAGTATATCCCATGAGGCGGGATGTTGCCATCTTGAATACGAAAAAATGGAGGTTCAGCATGATTAAGGAACTTGCTCAAGATTCCACATAAAGAGGTGAAGCTGGAGGCTAAAACTAGTTTTCCTGACTTCAAATTCTTTGCTCCACCCCGCATCCCCTTTAACATTGTTTGCATACCTAAGTCTCCTGATTATTTTCAGTAGGAATCTGGCGAGATTTCTTGGCCCAGTTTTGCTCATTAAGTCATTCTAGACCAAGGCTTCAGTGATCTGAGAGGAGAAATAGAACTCAGCTGGGAAGAGGGATGTCAAAATTTGGGAGGATTGCCTGGAGATGGCACAGAGTAGACACAGTTGCTGACCTTGGAGACTTAAGTGTGTATGTGTGTGTGTTTATTCACATGCATGTGCACACTTTTAGATATACATGTATGTGTGTGTTTTATAGATTTTCTCATGCCAGGGACTATGTGAGTGTCCTAATCAACCTGTGTATGTGTGTGTGTGTGTGTGTGTGTGTGTGTGTGTGTGTCTGTGTCTGTGTGTATGTACCCATATGTGACTGCAAGTGGACACAGATGCCTCAGACTTGCCTGGCAAGTTATCCACATATATTTTCTATGTGGCTAGCAGTTAAGTTCTGTTGTATATTATATATGTGTGTGTGTGTGTGTGTGTGTATATATATATATATATTTGTGCTTAGATTCATGTGAAACTAATAACTAAAGATTTATCCCCAATTTTGAGTGACCTTTTTATTGACCTCTAGGAAAAGGGCCATTGGTATTTTTCACTTTTAATTATAGGCCACAGTTTTCTATATATTCAGCTGGGTTCAGGGATGAACTCCATGAAGTATTTTTTGGTGAGCAGATGGTATACCTTAAACATCTTGGAACTTTTTTTTTTTTAAGAGAGAGTGAGAGAGGA